CATAATGTACAAGGTCTTTCAAGACACACGCCAATAGCTCACAGTCGACAAGAGACTCGCTGTCGAAATCGTCACGTTCGCGTATTACTTTAGCTGCGTAAGACCAGTCAGTAGTTTTGGATTCGTACCATTTACGAATAATATCATTTAGTTGCAAAATGCATACAAATTTTTGGAACTCAGCATTAACAATATGCGTATTTTCATATAACCATGAGTACATATGATCAATACACTGTTCAAGATTGAATAAGTTATTCAATGTTTCCGGTTTTAAATACAATGACTTGTTGAACAATGTAAGCTGTATAATGTTATCACCATGCATCATGCGACATTCCAACGACAAATCTCGAACCCATAATGGCGAGGAATGAGATGACTCCACATATCGCTCGATGTGTGCACGTCTATGTATACTCTCCTTCCAGATTTCATTTGGTAATATCAAATGATTGCCTCGATTATCGCCAACAAGTTCCACGTAGGATGCAGGTTCTACACTGATTCCAATTTCTAAGTATTTATATGATGTAGTTGTTAGAATGTATCTCCTCCCTAAAATACGAGCAGGAATATGTGGTTTTTCAGTAGAAACGCTGTAAAGAAAAATTTAAGAAAAGTTTTTGTTAAATATTCAAAGTTAAATATTCACAGCCAGTTTGTGCCAGTCAGTTTATGCCAGTCAATGTCGGTATATTAAAAAGCCANAAAAAAAAAAAGAGTTAAATAATGAGAAAAGTTGTGTGAGAAGTGTTTTAGAAGATTTTAGAAGATTTTAGAAGTTTTTTTTTTAGAAGATTCTAAAAAATGGAAGTGAACAATGATGTTGATGTGGACAATGATGTTGATGTGGACAATAATGTGGACAATGATGTTGATGTGGACAATGATGTTGAAGCGGACAATGATTTTGAAGCAATAATGGATTTATCCGATTCATCCGATGATGGCCATATTCTTACAGACGATAGTGATGTTCTCAGTGACTGTAGTGATGACTTTAGGGAAAACGAAATTAAAGCGAAGTGTAATGTGGAAATCAATGCGCTGAGTGGACAAACAAAAATGTGTTGCATCAATTTTTTCTACACTACAGGAGGCGGCAACCGTGCAGCGTTCTGTGCTTCATGTATGGTGCGACTGACAGGCTTATTCACACACATGTATGCCGTTCAAAAGCATCTGATTGAAAGACACGATGCGATACACGGAAAATTTTGAGCGAATTGCAATGGATCACTCTTTCAAATACTTCCGTGCAATTTGTGTCCTGTATGCATACAAGCTTATACACACACATGTGAAGACTATTTGCTTCAATCGGCTATAAAAACCTGAAAGATAATTTTGACAGTGTTTTAATGAAAAAAAGGAAGAACTCGTGAGAACTAAAAGTGAACTGTGGGATCAATCTGCTCGATTGAGTTCGCGAGACAAATACAACGTGTGGGAGGAACGGTGTGACGAATGCCTCGAGTCGTTGGAAGGACATAGTCGAGCGGAACGACCGAGATTATCAATCTCAACAATCGTTGATCGCTCGAATTGCGCGACTCGAAGGACTAAAACATTCATTGCGTACGCGTTTTGTAAATACAGGCGCCGGACATTCAAACGCTGGACTCTTATGGCGTGTAAAAGACACTGCTTTCAATAGCCGCGTATTAACTGGTGCGGTTATAAATGTAAATTTTGTCGAACCTCTTCGATTTCTTCAGAGTGCGAAGGATATAGTGCTTGAACATGTGCAAAACGCTAGGGAGAGACACGCAACTGTGAAAGTGAACACCGCATTTAATGGTGAGTTTGTCACGAGTGATAAACGCGCAAATAAAAGTATTACCACAAAAAACTTTGAACTCTTCCGCGCATCCGATATCGAAGAGTGGTATGAGCGACGTGTTATCAAGCTCACTTTAGCATCTTTAGAAGAATTTCAGGAACGTGATAGCGGATGGGTATTGTCGCGAATACTCAACCTAAGAATCAATGTGAACAAGTACAATCCGATGCGTGCAGTGTGCCACATTGAGTTACCGCGCGAGATACAAATCAATAAAGCGGTAATCAACGTTAAATTTAGAGACGATGCGTGTTTCGCGTGGGCAGTGGTTGCGGCTCTGTATCCAGTCGATAGAGACGCAAATCGTGCATCCATGTACCCACACTATACAACAGTGCTCAATTTACAGAACATTGAGTTTCCATTGTCTGTAAATCAAATAACAAACTTCGAGCTACAAAACAATATATCCATCAACGTGTACACTGACGAAAAAAAGAAAACAGAAAAAGGAAAAACGGCACATGTGATCTTTCCGATACGTCTCACTGACCGCAACATCGACAGATACGTCAACATGTTGTACTTGCCAGATGCGCGAGATGACAACGTTGGACACTTTGTATGGATAAAAAACTTGTCCCGACTTGTGAGCTCACAACTAAGCAAACGTGATCATAAGAAGTATATCTGCAACCGGTACGTACAAAAATTTGTAAAAAAATATATAAACATCTTTTGAAATGAATATTAATTAAAATGTTTTTTTTAACAGATGCTTGCACTATTTTAGTTCGAGCGAAAGGTTGCAGGTCCATACTATAGATTGTGGAGAAATGAACGACTGCGCTATTCTACTGCCTAGCGAGGACGACAAATGGCTCAGTTGTTTCAACAGGAAAGAGCGTCTACCGTTTGTCGTATACGCCGATCTGGAGTGCATCTTACAGAAGACTGCGAGCGAGGACGGAGAGGATCACAAATCGCACACGTATCAGCATCATATGGTATTCAGCATAGCATATTATTTACGTTGCTCGTATGACATGTCATTATCGTATTTTCGAAGCCGTCGCGATAATGATTGCGTCTCGTGGTTCGTCAAGCAACTCGAAGAGTTAGCGCACCGCGTAAAATTAGTCTTATCAACAAATGTCCCCATGGAAACTTTATCAAACGAAAAGTTGGAAACATTTAATAGTGCAACGTACTGTCACGTGTGCGAAAAAAAGATCGAGAAAAAGGATACACGCGTACGCAATCATTGCCATCTCACCGGACGGTACAGAAGTCCCGCGCATTTAAAGTGCAATTTAAATTATATACATTCATATTACATTCCAATAGTTTTCCATAATTTATCTGGCTACAATTCACATTTTAGTATCATGTAAATAGTAAATGCATTTGAAGGCTCAATCAAGGTGCTGCCGATAACAAAAGAAAAATATGTATCATTTACAAAGCATGTCCAAGACACAGCAAAAAAATCTGATTCACGAAATTGCATACAGTTACGATTCATCGATTCATACAAATTTCTAAATACCAGTTTCGAAAAATTAGCATCTTTTCTCGGCAAAGAAAAATTAAAAATTTTACAGTCCACATTTTAAAATATATCCAATTTCGATTTATTGACGCGAAAGGATGTTTTTCCATATGAATACCTTGATTGCGCGGACAAGCTGCAGGATTCGTGTTTACCACCGCGAGAATCGTTTTATATTTCGTTGACGGGTAATACTGTATCAGAGAGCAATTACGCGCACGCTGCGAACGTCTGGAATCGATTCTCTATTGAAACCTTGGGTGAATACAGCGATTTATATTTGAAGA